TTTCTAATTTTACAACGCTATCAGCACACGCCAGACTCAATGGAATCGCATGTTTTAGTTGTTCTAACTCTGTACGTAATAACATAATGTCCTGCATGATCACTGATACATCGACGTGTGTAAAGTCGATAGGAGGCAGGTTTGCCAGATTTTTCGCAACAAAGCAGGGTAAATCATTCCCGTCGGCTTCATGAATCATCGTTAATATATATCTTGCAAATTATTTTGTTTCTTGTGCTGTCCTCGACACTTCTTATACTGAGTAGAACGAATAGTATTTTCACACAAGTTGTATAGTACTCGTTTAGCAGACTCGATTTCTTGATCTTCAAAATGCTCCATACACAGCTTTATTAACATGCTAATAGTCATGACATATATCTTGTTAGTCAAGAAACACAATAGCTCATTGATCACGATACCTGCATGGCCTACTGTGGTCGATCGAGTTTTTCCCATTTATCTTCACTAGACGTATCACCCCACATGGCATCACTTCGTTCCTTGTCACATGTTGGACACAATTGCAGTTCACCATTGTACAATTTAACTAACTCGAGAAGCAAGTACGCCACAGTCTTCGCCCTGTAGCGGAATAATCACCGATATTATCAAACCATGCACCTGTTAGAAATGCAATTTGCGATTGATTTCGGCTGAAAGGGCGAACTCTTGTTGTGAGCACGTTTTTTTTTGGGGGGGCAAAAATTGCAGAGCAGAGAAAGTGTACGACTTCAAAACTTCACATACAGTGTCACTTTATATTCATGTTAAGCTGTACGTAATCTTCAACGCAAACAACGCAAGAAGAGACACAGTAGATCAGCAGGCCAAATCAATCAAGGTGTCATCTTGAAAAGTATACGCATGTCATGAGTTTTATAAGTTACGGCGTGTGGTAATAGCTATTTGGTCATACCAGCTTCGCATTTCTGTAATCGACAATATTGCCAGTTATTTCAAAATTATAATATGTCGTGATAGCTCGCAACGTAAGATAAAGCACAGTCCGTATTCAGCGGGTTCACTCGCCACTGGTTCCCTGGCAAGTGAACAGCTATATGTCCGACTACTCGGCTAAATCACATTACATTACTAACTCTGCAAGCATAAAATATACCGCCACCAAAAAGTGACAATGTAATTATCATGTGTTTCTCAGTTGTGCAGCGACATGAAAATATTAGTGAATAAATTTAATTCACTTATTTAAAAACAATTTTGTATTTTGTCATTTAGACGATTCTGACACAAAGTTGTGTTGATAAGTAACATGCCTAAAGTATTGTTATTGATGACAGACAACTTCCTGTGATAGATTATGTGACATCGCATTACATCAAACACCAAACAATTCGGTACGCAATTACAACTTGCCATAAGAATGTACAACCAGTTGTATTCACACGCCTGATATAAACAAACAACGTCGTGCACTCTTCCCCGGGTCACTTAAAAGAGCAATATTCGCAACTCATAAATCACGTGCCAACAATCTACTGTCATTGGTCAGCTATTGTCGTATGATGATACGATTGTAGTCGGCACTTAGGTTTCTAACCCCGTTAATACTCAACTAAATGAACCACAGTTACTCAGCATTTGTGTGTCAGTGACAACACACAATGGCGTATACTGGTATACATGCGACTTGTCTTTGCTGTAGCTTTTTACTGGCATTATTCGCAATCGCCGGGGGAATAAGCCACACAAAGGTTTACCTGAGTAACAACGAATATCATAATATAGTTATTGGGATTGACGAGAGCGTATTGGAGGACAGCGAATTGCTGGATCGAATAAAAGATGTCTTCACAGATGCATCTGCCTTCCTATATGAAGCGACAAGGTAACCATTTCCATTTGCAACTGTCCATTTCAGTAAAATTTGACAACAATTGTCAGTGTTTATGGTCAACATGTTCTTGGTAGGCTTGAATATTGACCATCACAATCACAACATATGTACCGCGCACAACTTATTGCTCGTTTTCTGATACTTATTATTATTTTTTCTCATGTAAATTGATTCGGCTGTAATTACAAACCGTTCAAACTTCATTTGGCGAAGAGTTGATTTTAGAAAAATATGCAACAAAATTGATTTGTAACTGGGTCTTTTTGTGGGGAACCATGAATGATTGGTTTTATACTTGATAGGTGTGTTTTACTCTATCAGATTTTCGTGATGATGTCACTTGTTTTCTATTCATTGCCAGCCAGAAACCTTTAATACTAATGTGTTCTTATATGACAGTGAATCAGGCCATTGCCAGTGTATGTTTGTATGTATATATAGTTTGCATTACTAACGTATGTTACATTCCCTGCTGTGTTTCCAAAGCGAACACAATAAATCATTCATTTACATGCAATTTTCGTAAAAACTTTCACATTTTCTTGACAGTCGCAGAAATTGGCCTAATTAAAATTCGGGCATTAAAAATATGTAAAAACATTTCCTAGGCTAGCGAAAATGTTTAGAGTGATTTTTTAATCTCGTCACCACCAGATTTTCTTGTTCAAATTTTACCGCACTATTTACTTATATTCTTCAATGATTATGGAAATGAAGCCAATAAACACAATTTGAGTCAATTTACAGTTTTTACTATAACAAATTTGGTATTTTTGTCTAAATTTTCTGAAGGAAAGTACATACTGTATAAGGAAGTATTTTCTAAATTTGTGATGAAAAGAGAGAACTGGTGAAAGGCTAAACACTATATATTCTATTTAAATGACCGATGTTTATATACTTGGTGTTTATATGTTTATGGACATTCTCCACTGGGCAAAATCGTTGGTATACGGCGGGTACATTAGCGTATTCGCACGCGTATATTCCCGATATTCGAAGATATACGTTG